TGTTTGTGTGTGTGTGTGTATCACCTCATCCCTCCATCCTTTAAGGCAGGTTAGGGAGCCCTCTTGTCTCAGAGTTTGCAGGACAGCATCCACAGCCTCGGACCTCCTCCCGTATGAGTCCAGACTGGGACACAGCGACACTGCGCCACCGTGTGGCGGACTGAACACATCTGGATACCGGCTCAACAGTGCGGCTACATGGGGAGGAATCCACCCTACTTGAGCCCCGTCTATCTCAAACCTGAAGCAGTTAGCACGACAGGAGCCTGAGGAAACACGACGGGAGTGGGTTTACTTTAGAACATTTCATAAAGTCCAACACATGTTACACTCGAACACACTGTCAGCCTACCGGGAACAGAGAAGTTGTTCATTCGGCGGAGGAGCTGGAGTATTTTTTCTGACCAGACAGAGTTGGCCATTTTAAATTCCAGTATGTCAACAAGCCTCTTCTTCTTCTTCTTCTTCTTTTTGTTTTTATGGTGGATTGCAATCTTTGAAGGTGCACACCGCCACCTACTGTACCGGAGTATGGAGACATAGGTTTTACACTAAAAAGAGTATTAAAAGTGATTTTTAATTTTCACAATCTTTATTTGTTGTTGTTTTAATCTTTGCTGACGGTGCCAGTCTTTGTGATTTTGTCCGAAAAGGTATATTGTGACGCCATCACGTCACCTGAGCTCCTCTGCGTTACTTAAACCACGCCCCCTGTCATACAAACACTTCCGTGGTTTTGCCGCTGCAGCTTCAACTGTTTCTGAGTCAGCTCCCTCGTTACAAACAGGAACTTACCGCCACCAAACTGAGCTGAACGCTGTTTTAAAACTGACCCCAGATCAGCGGTTTGGCATCCGGGTTCCTCTTGTGACAGTCAGCTGAGTTCAGATAGGATATTGGAAAAGCTTCGAGCTCTCCTGTCTGACAACAAGAAGCACACTCATAGTGATTGTAAACTGGCAGACATGGCCACAAACCCACCCAAGTTAAAGACTGTGATTTCTGGCAATGAGAGGTGAGTAGTAAGTTAGTATGCTTATTGTCAGTGAGGCAGAGGGAGAGGGAGAGGGGTGAGGAAACTAATGTGGAGCTTATTCTGTCTGATACTCATTTCACTTCTTCATTTGTGATTCTTCACAGGCTGCAAAACCTGAAAAATACTTTCGAGACAAAGTATGGAGAAGCTCCTCTCTTCTATGCGTATGCACCTGGAAGGGTAAATCTAATAGGTAATTCTCATTTTTTATTGTAGGCTTTAGTTGACAGTGGACTGCTAGTTATAGTAAATTGGGTTCGTGTTAGTTTATTTGCCCCAGACACAATGGACCTCCAAGAACAAAGTCACATTATAAAAAACAAATGTTAGGTTCTTCAAATCTGTGAAGCTAAAGTTTTCACACTCATTTTGATTTGTTGCTCAAATGTTTGTATTGTTATCTGAATGGCTTCTGCTAAAACATATTATATAATACTTAATATCTATACTATTTAGAAAGTCAGTCACTGGACTTAACATCCTCAATACGAAGAAAAATGTATATATATCTGGAAGAATTGTAGTTTAATGGGTAGATAATAATCTCATTTAAAGATGTTGTATATCAGCTATTATTTTAGTCCACGAATATTGGCACTGGTGGTAAACTCAGGTCAGTTAAATCATTTAGTCTCATCTACAGTAAAATCCCTTTCACATATCTTTTTTTAATGTTCTTTAACAGGAGAGCATATTGATTACTGTGGCTATTCTGTTCTTCCGATGGCCATTGAACCGAATATCCTCGCAGCCGTCTCGGTTAACAGTTCAGGGACAATCACTCTGGCCAACACAAATCCTCAATACAAGTAAGACTTGAACACCCCATGATCCATGTGTGAGTTTTTACATAGCATTACAGGAGCTTAAAACACTTGTACAGTATAATCTGTTTATAATGTCTTTCATTTTGCAGGGATTTCACTGTGTCGTGTTCAGAGGACATCGCCATTGACAGAGAGAATCCAAAGTGGTTTTATTATTTTCTCTGTGGAGTTAAAGGTATTCAGGTAAGATGTTTTCTTCTACTTGTTCTTGGGTAGAATTTGGTATGTAATACTGTAGTGTTTATTCAATGTTTTTTGTTCACAGGAGAACTTTGGGATTGCTCCTTTAGCAGGGATGTCGTGTGTCGTAGATGGAACCATTCCTCCGAGCTCTGGCCTGTCCAGTTCTAGTGCCTTAGTTTGTTGTGCCGGGCTTGTAACAATGGAGGCAAATCAGAAGTCCCTATCCAAGGTAAAAAGGCTCTACAATACAAGCATTTCCTTCAGAAGCCATCTAACAATATTCAAAAAATGCTTGATGTTGTTATTTTTAACTTACACACCACAGGTAGGGCACATTACTTATCATGAAACCTATTTTTGTTCAACTACGCTCAAGTGAAGTTCACAGAATGAATTGTTTAGCTTTGTTATGTCCCTTGTTATGTCCATATTCCATAAACTAGCTCACTGAGGTGACACAAATGAATGAAACATGACACACACAAGACAACAACCCCCCATGACAATGTTAGCACGGCTCTAAAAACCGAGGTTGATATTTCCCCAGTGGAGAACTTTGGCTCCATAAATCTTCTAGTCCAGTCAGAGAGACGGAGGGAAAATAATACACAGTTTCTAAAGATTTTAGGTTTTTGAGAAAACATTTGTTTTCTGTGGCCCTAGACGATGATTAGCACTGTTCACTCTCAGCAACAAGGTCCTGGGTTTGATTCCCAGCTAGGGCAGGGCCTTTCTGTGTGGAGTTTGCATGTTCTCTCTTTGTTTCCACCCACCATGTATGTGTATCAGGTTAATTTCTCCCCTGGCCAAGGCACTGGCTTAGATCTGGAGTTGGATGGGCCCTGTACAGTGTCTGTCCACTGCTCCTAGTACTTATGATGGAATTGTACTGTGTATGATTGTATATGTGACAATACAGTTGATTCTGTTCTATGTATATTTGCATAGAAAAAGTGCTTTATACATTTCTGTAAGCAAAAATTATTTGAAAAATGAATTTATTTTAAAAGCAAACATCACTCCTGACTTTAAAGGTGACCCATAGTGTGCTTCACTTTTATCCCAGTAGTCAATATAAGAGAGTATTTCTTGTTGTGATCCTCCAGGTGGCGCTGGCTGAGATATGTGCCAAATGTGAGCGCTACATTGGCACAGAGGGAGGGGGCATGGACCAGTCCATCTCATTCTTGGCAGAGAGAGGAACTGTATGTAGCCTTTCTCTCAGTACATAAGGTCAAACAAGTGGTACAAGTTGATCCAGGTCGTTTGTTCATCAAGTAAAATGTATTTTTTTTGTCTTTCAGGCAAAGCTGATAGAGTTCCAGCCTCTGAGGGCCACCGATGTCAAGCTCCCTGATGGGGCCGTGTTTGTGATCTCCAACTGCTGCGTGGAGATGAACAAAGCTGCTTCTTCTCACTTCAACATCCGTGTGGTGGAGTGTCGGATCGCCACAAAGGTACGGGGATCCTGTCCGGTGGGTCTCTGAAGCTGATTCTGGGGAGTGGGCAGAGGATGATTTATGGGACAGGAAAAATACCTTCAAAAATGTTTTACAAGTTACATACAATATACAACAACATACAAGTGTATTACCATGTTGCAAAAAGCTCAATATCTTTAACACTCCTCTTACAATTAATCAGATCAAACAAACGATAAGTTAATATTGCATATATACATCCTATGATTAGAGTCTTGTGTAAGCATCTCTTAGTTTTAAGGGGTAACCACAAAGGTTTAGAGCCAGTAGGACATTGTGCTTTTTATACATACAAACATACATGATGAGAAATCAGGAGAGTGTGTTGTTTCCTTATGATTGACCTTCATCTGCAGCAAATATGTGTAAATATCAATACAGTTCACTTGTGTGTGAGTGAAAAGTAAATAAAAAGTGTAAATACTCCATCAAAGCAAAATGTCTTGCTGATTGTGAACTCAGATGCTGGCTCAGGCCCGGGGTCTAGACTCGAGCAGGCTGTTGAAGCTGGCCCAGGTTCAGACGGAGCTGAAGGCCTCCCTGGAGGAGATGCTGGCTCTGGTGGACGAGGCGTTGCATCCTGAGCCGTACAGCCGAGAGGAGATCTGCAAGACGCTGGGCATCACCTCTGAGCAGTTTTCCACAGACCTGCTGAGCGCTAACACTCAGCATGGTGAGCAACAGTACACAGCCACATCTGTGTATCTTTATATCTCTGAGTGTGGAAACAATAACTTCAACTCTACACACACATGTAAACAAAAAGAGGGGGCATATAGGGACATACATGACATAAGCTAAATGCAGCTAAATATGGGTAAAGACAACAGAAAGATAACATAAGTAGAACTTGAATAAATGAGGTAGAATATGCCTGAAAGTGCAGGCGTTGGGCCCTCTTTACTAGGAGACGGGTGTTTGATGTCCAGGAGAGCTCCTCGCTAAACTTGAAGCAGGGGCTGCGCTCCACTTCAACCCTGTTGATGTATATGGGTAAATGGCTACATCCACTATCGGCTCCTTCGTCTTCTGCACATTAGGGACGAGATTGTTGGAGGCGCGTCATGATGCAGGATCTCGTCCCTGTAAGCCATCTCGTCGTTGTTGGTGATTTGACCTACAACTGTGATGTTGTCTGCAAACTTTATTATAGAATCATGGGAAAAGAGGGAGTAAAAGGTGGTGGTCCGAGCACGGTCTTCCTCTAAAGAGCAACACATATCTCATTCTACTGATATTGATACATTTGTTGAAAAAATAATAAATGTGTGCTTCTTCTCTTTCTCTGTCAGAGACGCATTTCAAGCTGCACCAGCGAGCCAAGCATGTGTACAGTGAAGCTGCGCGGGTGCTGCGGTTTAAGAGCGTGTGCGACTCTGAACCTGCCGGATCCATACAGCTACTGGGAGACCTGATGAACCAGAGCCATGCAAGCTGCAGAGATCTGTATGAGTGCAGCTGCTGTGAACTGGATCAACTGGTGGACATCTGTCTGTGAGTACAGCAAAGTGTCGCTTCACTGACTGTGTATATATATATATATA